GGCGGGGGGAGAGAGAGATCGAGAGAGAGGGGGGATCTTTACCATGCTTTCAGCCCACCTCTTGCAGCCCACCACTTACACTTCGCCACTAAACCTATAGCCCACTACTTGTCACTCGCCATTTTACTACTCGCAACCAACTGCTGTGCATGTTGCCCACAAACAAAATATACATTTTAAAGCCCATCTCTCACAGCGTCGTCTACCATTTGCAGCCCACCCCTTGCAGCTTACTAGTATGTGTACCACGGGTTCGAAAACTGACGGCGACAGAAAATTTTCTTCTCTAAAATTTTATCTTTTCACCTCCTTTCCTGCTTTCTAACCATGTTATTCTGTTGTCTGCTTTTGTCTTCACTTGCTCCCCCCCCCCCTTTTGCCCCTTCCTCTGGGCTCCTCCCTGGCTCTTTCTACAGGTTCTACTGCTACTCATTGGCCCCAGTGTCCTTCACCCACACTCCTAATCTTAGGATAGGTAAGATTTAACACCTAGTCTTCTCGGATAAAGGCGAAAAATCTTGGAGTCCCGTGTGCAAGTTGCGTTCGTTAAAGATCCCTTGGGGGTCCAAAATCGACTAGAGTAGCCACCCGGGCAAAATTCAAAATTAGTTCCTACCAAAATGAAAAGGTCTATCAGTGCGGTCAAAAATTCGTCAGATATTTCCTAAACTATCGAACATAGACTCTCCAGCTTTTGCACAATGACTTGTCTTAACAGAGCAATACTCTTGTAAACAACTGTTAACTGTATTCTAGACAATTCCTTAATAATGAATTACGCCAAGTGAGTGGTTTCGACAGATTTTAAAAGGTTTACAGCTGGGCCAATATCTCATTTGAAAACAAGTCCTTCGTTTTTGTTTTTTCTAATCGCAACATTATGTTTATTGAACGCATGTTTTGAGAACCTTTAGAAAATTAATTTCTTGTAACAAGTTTTGCCACTAAAAAGTGTCATTGGTGAGCTGTGATGTAGGCCATATACGTATGCAAAATTTGTATGAGAAGCGGGAAGTGGCGTGAACAATCCCATTTATCGCGTGGCGGAGATTTATAACATTTTATGTAAATTTCTGAAGAAAAGTTTTTAAATCATACATCAATTATTGTGGAAAAATATTATTATCAAGTTAGACAAATTGATACAAACTGCTGTGCAAAGTATGGGTGACATTGATTGACCCGTTAAAGTTAAAGAGATATTTGAGGATAAGTTGCACCCCGAATTTTTCACCACACTATAATGTGGATCCCGCGCGCATTCGATGACTATGCAGTTGCGAGCGCCTTTAATACAGGTTCAACGTTTCGCTCGGTAAAGGACTTCATCAGGAACATGATACAAAAAAATAATGCAAGACCTAATAATATACAAGCTATAGCAACAAAAGTGCGCGCATCTACGTCATAATGCCAAAAGGTGCGATAAAAACGAATCAGGAAGACCAGAAAAATTTGAAGGCTATGGCAAGAAGTGGTATGGATATAAAATATTATGTACGTCAAATCATATATTATCATTAATTAATATTAATGTAAAGGTCATTAATAGTACTAGTAGCATAGTACGCCCTAGTAGTAGTGGAAGTCGCAGTAGTAGTAGTAGTAGTAGTAGTAGTAGTAGTAGTAGTAGTAGTAGTAGTAGAAGAGGAGAGGAGGTTATACAGTAAGGTTATCAAAGAGAATAGATAGGCCTGAGTGTTGGTTAGACTGCATCAAAGATTCTATTACCATTACTTCTGTGCATGCTAAGAAACTTTGAACTTGACTGTATAGTTCTCAAAAGTCTCAGTAGGGAATATGGTGTTTTGTAACACTGTGGAGTTTACGGACTACCAAGCCCACTGTACATTGTATTAGATCTATTATTATAATATTATAATAATATTAGGCCTATTCAACGAATAAAAAAATCTGTGGCGTTACCCAAGGGCAAGCACTCTCTTCGAATTCGCTGTTTGTTTGTGTGGTCTGCTCACAACTAGATCTGCACCGCAATGATAAGCTAACATTATAATAATATGTCGAATGTCAAATCACAAGTGGTTTTGCTTGACGGCTGGCGGCTACTTTGGGCTAGTTTCTCCATTAGAAATGAGTTTGTGATTTTGTTTTACTTGTAACAAATCAATGAGACAGCAGTTTGATCATTCCAAGGGTTCAAGAACAAGACGCCCACGAGCATTGCATCGACACTGACCTGCGGAACTCGTCATGACTCATCTCATCACTCATGGATCACGATCTTTTTTAGTCCAATTTAATCTGCATATATATATAGATTAGCTGCATTTCATTTTTGAGCTGGAGTTCTGTTTCTCTTTTTATGCAGATCATGGCCCTGGCCCAGCCAGCATCCCGGCATATTGCTGTTGTTATTTTAGCCGTTGCATCTTACCATTATCTTCAAGTTTACATTTCTAGAAAAGATTTGCCAAAGCCTAGGGTCGGTGGATACTTCCATCCTTCTTTTCGGAATGTAGCAGAAACATTCCGGTGAGCAGTCATTTTTTCCCCTGAGTATAAACAGTGGTTATTGTAAATAATGTATTCTCCTGTCCTTGTTTTAAACAAGTTTTCACTTTGTTCTGAGTAGGCCATGGGCCAAGTAGAGTGTCTCTAGTCTCTCTAAGTAGGGGCCTATAATTGCAACATAAAATTAAACTGAACTCCCTTACTGATTTGATATTTAATGTTCAGTGAGTCTTGGCTAGCCTTTGACAGCAACAATACATTAGATCTAGACTATATTTCATTCTTAGGGTAATCTTGGTAGGTAGGCCTATATTATATATAATATTTTGTGATTTTGCTATAGATTTCGTTTCAAGGGTCTGTTTAAAATTCTTGTTTTGTTTGTTCTTTTGGGGAGGGGGGTAGTTGAGATGCGCTGGATAACGTAAATCAGACCCTTGAAAATCAAAGCAAGAACTGGTCTGTCCTACTAGCCAATGAAAGATTCATTTCACTGATGGATCGATGTTACCTCTCATTTTTTCCCTGATTTGCAGCAACAACTTGGAAAGTGGCCTAGAGACAGGAGCCTCCTTTTCTGTGTACCAGAACGGTCAGGCCCTGGTAGACCTGTGGGGTGGTTGGGCTGACTTGAACTCTCACCGCCACTGGCAGGAGGATACGGTGGCCCTGACATGGTCCATGGTCAAAGGTGTGACAGCCCTTGTGGTGGCCAGACTTGTAGACAGGTGAGACACACGTTATGTATTTCTTCCTTTTGATACAGTCCTGCTTGCAAACACGAGTGAAAATCTATCCAAAATTGTGAAAGTAGTTTTTTTAAAGAGATCTCGAAAAGCAGCAAGGCAGGCCTAGACATGAATACCAAGAAAACAAAAACAATTGTCATTATATCAAAATCTACTCGGGAAAAAACAAAGATGGGGAGAGTATCGATCAAGTACAGGAACTCAAATATCTAGGGGCAACAGTCACAGACGATGGCAGAGGTGGTAAAGAAATAAATATAGCAAATTTATACAAAAACAAGATTCTTCCAAATGTACAAACTATTAATATGTAGGCAATTATTTTTACCTTCAACCATTTAACTTTAACACCTGGAGTGGCATTGCGCGGAGTCTATCGATTCACACCTAGAGCGGCATTATGCAGTGAGGTGTGTATTTCTATGAATGATGTTCGCTTAGAATTGACTGAAAACGAGGCTATATATATATAGTGAAAGTAGAGTTGTTCTTTCTTTGAGTTTTTGAATGGTCAAAATTGACCCAGAAATAGTGCATCTGAATTTTTAAAGTAAATAATGATGAAATGGAGGGTGTGATGGAGTTGAAACTTTTGCAAAAGCAAGGAAAGTTCGAAAATAAATAAAAATTCAGTCTGTAAAGTGATCTTGACTGAACAAAGACTCATGATTGAAAGTTCTTTTTTTGGTCTACCCTAATACTGTATTTAAGTTGCCAAAGGAGTTGGTTATTTTTTAATGCAACGAAATACATAGGTAAAAAATGAAAACCCAATAGTCACAACTTCTATATTGGGAGAAATAAATAACTTGCCCATACTGTTCTGCAACGGAAATTGGCCTGTTGGAAGCACTATTCTTTTCTTTAGTTGCAGTTTCCCCAATCATTTTGTAAAGAAATTTTGTTTAATAATTTTTTTTTTAACTTACATTTTTTAGAAGGATATCTCCTTTTTCCAGGATTTCGGGGCATGCATCATGACAAATCTCCAGGAGCTAAATGGTTAAGAAAGAAAATGATGGAGTACTTAATCTTCCCCATATTCCTAGGTGGTGCTGAGACCTGGACTTTAACAGTGAAAGAAGAAAACCAAGTAGTTGCGTTTGAAATGTGGTGCTACTACAGAATCACCAAAATTAGCTGGAAAGTTAAAAAGACTAACAGTGTGGTTTGTCAGATTCTCCACACAAAATAAACCCTGCTTAACAATATAAAAGTAAAAAAATACAATGCTTTGGTCACTTAAAATGACACAAGACCATTGTGAAAGAGGTTCTTGAAGGAAAGATGTAGAGCAGGAGAGCCAGGAGTAGACAGAGAGTCATGGATGGATCACTTTATGACATGGACTGGCCTGGATATAGCAGAATATACAACGGCTGTTTGTAACCATGAAGGCTGGAGTGTCATTAAACTTTCCTGATGTAGTCACTTTCTATCTAAGGCAGGGAGAAATGACAGCCTTGAATAGATCAGGCCCGACATAAATAAGATAAAGCCCCTGTCCCTTCTTAGTTCACAGCATGAGTTGGTGGCACGATTTAACCTTTAGGCAGTTGACCCATAAAGCTACTGGCACATGCACCTAATGACAGACAACCACTAAGTTTACACCATCTCTGACTGAGTTGTGTTGAAAGGCAAAGCTTGCAAGTACTAAAGCATACTCTCAAACCTGAGAGATGAAGATGGCCATGAGAGCCAGTGGTATGTGTAACATGTTGCTTCTATTACTTCTCTCTTCTGGCATCTGTTCAGAACTCTTATAGCCATGCAGTAATAATAGTACCGGTAATTGTATTTTGAATATAACGCTTGACTGCACTTGATAGTCGTCTCTGCTCTGTAGGCTTTACTATTTATTGTCCCAACAGACCCTATAACATTTCAAAACATTTTCAGCTTCCAGAAAAAGATTGGTTTATACCAAAATAGATACACCCAAAACCAGATGTGCCACTTGCATCATTACGAAATCAGGTGCTCATCAAGATAATAAAATCGAAGAAACTGACATTTTTCCGTCCATTGGGAATTTTAATAATTTATCAGATGTTTCTATTTGGCTTAACCCCTTTTATGTCCATTTAAAAGCACATTATTTCTGTTTGGATTCTGCCCAAAAATGTTGATGAAAGACAAAAAATGCGAATTTGTAGTTTCCCTGGGCTCTCAAGCTTTTGAACAAACTTTGGCAGCCAGATCTCATTTATTTTACTTCTGACACTAAGCAACCCCCACCATCTTCAATCACAAATGTCTCAACTACTTTTAAAGATGTGTGGGTATTTTTTGTTACCAAGTGCAAGACTAACTTCTAGATGATACCAATAACAAAAGAAACCCAAAATTGATGAGCGCCTGATTTGCGTACCCTAAAGCTCAAACAGTGACTGCGTTGTTCTGTCCCCCTAGTGGTGTGTTGGAATACCAGAGGGAAGTACACCACTACTGGCCTGAGTTTGGTACAGAAGACAAGAGAAACATCACAGTGGAGATGCTGCTTAGTCATCAGGTGGGTTGTTTGTCTGTTTGTGTTACATTACATATATGTTGGCCATTTTCAGCTCAATACCGTCCTCATTTTTTAAAGCATACATACATTGTTTTTGGGGACCTTTGACCAAGAGTTATGGCACTCTCCCCTGATGCCAAAACATCTGGATTCAAACCCAGTCCGTGCTTTGAAGACCAATTTTCTCTTTGTCTGCTACATCTTCAACTTCTTTTTTCTCATCTTCTTCCTTTTCCCTTCCTCTTCTTTTTAAAAAAAAAGCTTGAAAAAAAAATTATTTAATCTCCATCTTCCACCACACCAGTGATGTTTAGGAAAGTATAAGATCTAGCGTGTAGTCTTCTCGGATAAAGACGAAATATATTAGAGAACACATGCATACTTTGCAAACAGTAAAGATCCCTTTGTGGCTCACAATCGAAGGAGATTAATCTGTCAGGCCACCATGCAGGCAAAATTTTAAAAATCCCCTACCATAAAAAATATCCCTATCTCACCTGAGAAATAGTATGAGGTCACTTACTCCTTCCTTGATTCCAAACGCATTAGCCAAGTCTCTCTTTTATAGTATATTAGGGAAATCAAGATCTGAAGTGAGGGAAGTAGTAGTAGAACTTGGGCAATCTACTTCCTCTATTATGTGTACGACCCAGGCAAAGCTGTATCTTGCATACTACTTTAGTCAACCTTGATATCAATGGACAACCAAAGAAGGTATGTGTGTATAATTTGCAAGGTTTTCCTCGGGGAGTACCTCTGACCACAAAAAGCCTTGAGATACCTGCAAGTGCCCTACCTGACAAGGACTTTTTATGTGCTTTTGCCAGGCTGGCCTTGCAGTGTTGGATGAGCAGATTGTCATCTTAGACTACCAGCACAACTGGCCAAAAGTGGAGAAGATTTTGGCTGCACAGAAACCAAACTGGCCTCCAGGTAAAACCAACATGAACTGTTGTTTTGTTCTCATAAGAGGAGGTTGGGGCTGTGAAAGTTTGTGTGTATGTGTTAATGTCTACATATGTGTTTGTGTTTGCGTTCTCTGTGTCTGTGTGTGTGTGTGTGTAATGTGTGCATATTATGTGTTTGCATTTTTGCATTCTGTGAGTATGTTTGTGTGCACTCAAACTTTGTACTAAAAGCTTTCAAGAAAAAGTGTCATCAGAAATCGATTGTATATCTTGTATGTATATATATATATATGATATTATTTATCAAAGTTTTTCTCTCACTACATCTCCTACAGGGACTGCAGTGGCCTATCATGCCATGACATGGGGTATGTATGTAGATGCCCTGGTCAGGAAAGTGGATCCACAACACAGAAATGTCTCCGAGTACTTCAGGCAAGAGATTGCTAAACCCTTAGGTATACGTGATTCTTACATCATTCTACATTATGCTACTTTGTCTCTTCTGTCTCTGTCTCTTTTTCTCTCTCTCTCTTTCTCTGTGTGTGTGTGTATGTGTGCGTGTGTTTAGCCTACTTGTGTGTGTGTGTGTGTGTTGATTACAAGAATGAAAACTTTGCAGTATTTCAATAAAATGTGTATGTCAACATGATTAATATACTGCTTGTTAGCTCTGTTGGGTTTTTTTAAAGACAAAATTAGCCAAAGGCATCTGTTACATGCATGTCTCTCTTACCATGACAAGTGTTTCACCCTGAGTCAAGAAGTTCAAAGATTGATCAACTTTTCTATGCCAGTGTTGTATCTCAGCTCTACAACTACATGAAAATTTAAAAGAAACTCAGTATAGATTGAATCAAATTCTGAAAAGTATACAAATTGAATACTTGAAAATATGGGTTGTTAAAACTTTTCTAAGTTGACTTTCTGTAAATGGCTACTTTATTGTACTGTCCTTTCTATTCCCTACCAACTTTCCCATGCCCTCTCCATCTCTAGGATAGAATGTCCCTGTTCTGTGCTCGCATGCCCACTGGCAATGCTACAAGTATCTTTCACTACTTTCACTTTCAGGCCTGGACTACTACATTGGTCTACCACCAAATTTGTTCCATCGATTTGCACAATTTAGAGAGTATAGCTTTTGGGAGCAGAGAATTACGTACGCCAATGTAGTTCCAGCTGTGCTAGGGCCGTACCTTTTGCCAGCTACCTTGTCCATTGACACAGGAGTCCAGGTAATCCCACAAAAATATTAAATTTAATTTGCTGATACTGTTTGAAACAGTTTCCTGCCCTGATCACATTCTAAGAGCTTCAGATGACTTATAAAACATTTTTGGGACATTTTTTACTTATATTCACTGTTATTACTTTTATTATTGGGGGGGGAGGGAGGTTTGTTCATAAATCCGGTGGCCAGGACCCTCAGGAAGCTTCAAATGACCTGCTAACGTTCAGGCAGGACAAGTTTGTTCATCCTGCTAAATCTGTTTGTCTCGGTACTTCCCTCCAGATTATTTACTGAATATATGAAAGGTCAAGTTTTGACGTCTGTCATTGATCCTTAAATTGATCTCTTGTATGTATGTGCTTTATTGTGTATGCTTATGTGTATGAAATGGGCGGTGGAGGGAGAGTGTGTTTGAATCACCCTTATAGGACTGTGGTGAGTAAGGCCCAGAGTGCTTTATTGTCATGTTATGATCATATCTCACAACTTGTTTCATTTTCTGGTTAGTAGTAGTCGTATGGTTTATTTAGATGATGGGTAGGCAACATTTACATGCTGAGATCATAATTGATTTTGTAAAACTTTTGATTAGCCAGTTCACTGATGTTTGTTTATATGTATGTGTGTGTGCTGGAGGGGGAGGGGGCGTGGCAGACGGAAGGGCACTCGTATGATTTTCTATGAACCCTAAACTATGTAGTAGTTGTCATAGAAATCTTTTTCACCCTCGGGGCAGTGCCACTGACTGAAGTGTCTTTAGGCCATTCCCAAAGGGGGGTCATTTCTCATTCAAACATAGTAGAATTGTAAATGGGCTGACTCATGTCACACTCATAACTGTGCCTGATCTACAACAGGGAAATGCTGCTTTTTCTTTCCTGATCCTTACTATTGTCATTTTCCTCTACTTCTTTTGTATGTTTGTCACTCTCTTGTGAGCTATTTTTGGGTGCCTTGATAGTCGAAGCAGACCTTGTGCTGTTGAAGCTAGAGAGGTGAGCAGTCTAAGTCTGATTCCCTGTAAAGATTTCTCTGTTGACACCCACCCCTTGGCGCTCATATGACCTTATGCAGTTGCGAGCACCGTAAAACCCTTTACTATAAAAAAAAAAAAGAAATCTTTTTCATTTTTGGTCATGCTTTGAGGTTTATGATATGAATCTTTGACTGGATACAGATTAATATAGGTTGTGCCATTGTTACTGGCAAGACAAAATGACCTGTGTCATAGATTGTGACATATGTAAGTTGTAAGTGACCTGATATGGATATCCAGCAACTATTTCTACCTGTCACCCCTCAGAACCATTTTGTAACACAACTGGTACATTATGGATGCTTGAATTTGATCAAGCCACAATTTTCTTGTCCTTCTTGGTATCCGAACCTTACCATTTCACCCAATAACTGAAAAAAGAAACCAAATGTTCAGCCCTGAAAAAGACCTCTCATGTGTCTTGTACGTTTAACATGTTCAGCCACAACAAAACAATCCTCATGAATAATATAACACATCCTTTTCTCTCTCTCCCCAACTCCCCTCCCCAGCTGGCACGAGCAAATAACCCTGATGTTCTCCAGATTGGCGTGCCTTCCTTTATCGGTGTGGGTGCTGCCAGGGACCTCGCCAAACTCTATGACTACCTTGGAAATAATGGGACTGTGGGTGGCTACAGACTACTCTCCAACTCAGCAGTGAAACTTCTAAAGGAGCCACTGACTAAGGACCTACCCAATCTGTTCTTTGTTTTCTATCCGTACTCCCGAGGGCTGTTTCTCAAGAAGAACAAGCAGGTGTGTAGACAGACAGACAGATGTGTGCGTGGAGTGACAGATGTGTAGTATAATGACAGACATGTTTGTAGGCCTACTTATATGTAGAAAGACAGGTGTGTAGCCAGTCAGGCATTAATTACTCTCAAAACATTTTTGCACAGTGTAAGTAGTAAGTCACATGTGAGCCCTTACTAACCTGTATTTAAACCAAGTACACATCAGCTTTGGTTTTAAGGCAATGTGGTCCATTCCCAAAATGCTTCAATATGCCAACTTTAATCCTTTTAGTGAAAGTCAAAGTGCATTTACTGTTTTTGACAAGTTTTATAGCTTGTGGCTTCTATTTAAGCAGCCCAGCAGTGCTCTCACTCTTCACAGGGTCCTAGTCTCCAAGCGTAGAAACTATTGTATACCATACATTCAATTGTGTTTGGCTGTTGTTATTTTATAGACAATTTTTGTTTAGATTGAGATTCAAGTTGTTTTCTTTTCAAAGAGCCTAAAAGTACTAAAAGGGTCTTAATTCTGTAGTGTATTGTTTGAATTTTTCAATTTAAAGAGCCTCATTTTTTAAAAAAATTGATTTAGAGGGGGTGGATATAGGTCAATGAGAGGCGGAGGTGGCCAAATGGATCATTTTCATTGTTGGTGTTTCATCTGTCTCTCAAGTCTCTAGCTTTTCGAGTCGTTAAATAATCATATCACATGACATGACTTTCGCTTAAGAGTTTGTAATTTTATTTTAGAAATTTAATAAGTTGTATTGTGTCTTCTTTTTTTTACGCTCTGTATGTAGTTACACAGTAGTTATTAGTTTTATCATTTGTGTTAAAATAATACACTGCTACTCTGCTGTAATAATTATTTTTTCCCCTTTGCTTTCAGGGTCATCTGATGGTTGGCCACTCAGGTTACGGAGGAAGCTATTCTGCTGCAGACACAGACTCAGGTCTGGGAATGGCTTACCTCACCAACCATGTGTCCTTTCATCAAGAAGACCCCAGGGCAGACAGTCTTATGGAAGCTTTCTATGAGTGTTATGAAACTTATGTCAGTGCCAAAAAAAAGAATGGACAGGACAAGAGAATGTGATCTCATGTCTTGGTGTAGGTGTGTGTGTGTGTGTGTGTGTGTGTATGTGTGTGTGTGTGTGTGTACGTGACTGCGCGCATGTGTATGCACTTGTGTAGAGAATGTGATCTCGTAACTTAAAATACATCTTTATTGTCCAGATCCTGGCACATTGGTTTGGTGTTCCACCACGAGTACACACACGCACACAAACACACACACACACACACAAACACACACACACACGTACACACATGCACACAAAGTAGGCTTACAATCACATACATAATATAAATGAGCAGCAATATAAACAATAATAATCTTAAGCTAGATACACACTCAATGTTATTTTGATGCATGCTCTAAGGTCGTAACTTGGGTGTAGGTGTAGGTGTGTGTGTCTGAGTGTGTGTCTGTGTGTGTGTGTGTGTGTGTGTGCATTTGTATGCACATATGTGTGTGTGTTTGTTTGTAAGTGTGTGTGTGATTAGGGGGAGAATTTGTGTCTATTTGTCTTTGTGTATTTGTTTTTTATGTGTTTATGTGCGCTTGTGGGCTTCATTTTTGTGTTTGTTTGGGGGATGTGTTTTTGTTTTGTGTGTTTGCATCAATCTATGTGCGAATATATGTGATAGAGCGTAGTGAAATCAGGCGCTCGTCAATATAATGAAACTGAAGAAACTGGCATTTTTCTGCAGGTTTTGAAATTTTTATCGACTTTTTGTTTATTGGCTCAACACCTTTCATACCCATTAAAGAACACATTCCTGTGTGGATTGTTACTTAAAAAACGTTGATTAAAGGCACAGCAAATTTTCTGCTTCCACGACTCTCAAGCTAAGGAAATAACTAAATTTTGACAGCTATTTTCCACTAATTTTACCTCTGAAACCAGGCAACCCCTACCTCCTTCAATCACAAATATCTCAATTTGTGTTCAAGATAACTTTTTTTCATCAAAAGCAAGATAAATGAACAACCTTTAAGATAATGCCAATAACTTCACATGACCAAAAATTGACAAGTGCCTGATTCCACCGCAGCGTGACACATATGTTTGTGTTTGTTTGGAAGATGTACTAGTGTGTGTTTGTGTTAGTCTTTGTATGTGTTCATGATGTGGATTTGTGTGTGGACATGTGTTTTTGGGTATGAGTCTAGTGTTGTGTAGTTAAAATTTTGGCATTCCTGTGTCATTGTGTGCACACATGTATGTGCACATTTGTGCTTCTGCCAGTGTTTGTGCATACCAGTACATGCTATTTGGGCTTTACAATCATTCCTCTATGTGTGACAATATTTGTACAGGTATTTTTAATGTCGGTTTGGCTATTGTGGTGGGGGGGTGAGACTGTCATTGTCATTAGTTGTGACCCGGTGGACTGTTGAAAAGGAAGTCTGTGAATTTATGACATCTACATACCAGTAGTCTTTCTTGAAGGCGTGTAGGCCTAATGTATACTTCAGCTTGTTACTATACTTTTGTGCAATACCATGCCGAGAATTAAATAAAGGTGACATTTTTTAAAATAAGCCTAATCAAGGTTTGTGGTGATTTTAGCTGCCTTGAAGGACTGTAGGCATTTGAGTGTGATTCTGTCTAAAAGGGGATGTGGCACTTAGGGTGGATGATAGCATGGGGATGGAAAAAGTGTTGAGGGATAGAAAAGATAGGCTACCTGATAGATAAAAAGAAGAGTAGTAGAGATAGAGATTAGAGCAGAAGAATATTGAGAAGGACAGTAGTGGATAAGTCATAAGTTGAATAAAGAGTGAGATAGGAGGACAGTAGAGTTGAATCTAAGAATAGAGGGAGGGGGAGAAGTACAATGTACTGTTGGTCTATCGAAGTGCCACGAAACACTGTCACTGTCATGAAAGACAACGAGACGAAGACTTTTGTCGGTGTATTCTACTTGTTATCTACCATAGATTAGGAAAGATGATGTCTTTCTTTTTGTAGTAATGTCAATATGTAGGTCTATTAAATTTTATATATTTTTTTGGTGACCTGTCTTTATTCTATGATCTACTTTTTATCTCCCCGAGATAAATAAAAGGCAAAGTCTTTGTTCTGCTTGTTATCTTTCTTAGAGTACAAGAGACAAAGTTTTAATTCTATTTTTATGTCTAATGCAATGCATCTGTCGGAGAGAGACACTCAAATATTCAGCTGAAGTGGTGACAATTGAGAATAACAAAATATTCCTGTTTGGATATAATTATAATTGTGATTGACTTAATACTCATGTTTGAAAGGTTACAGTTTGGGAGAACCCAATATTGCGGTTGGAATAACGATGATAATATTTATAGTGATTTTTTATAATAATTGCATTTAGAGCCTACAGCACATACACCCTACACCATGCTCCGTGCACTTTACAATTGTATTACCCTTGCAGACTCTACAACACTCAGAAACATTCTCAGCTTCCCAGGAAGCATACAGCAAAATTAAAAGCTGCAGATTACAGTCACTAAAACTAGTAAAACACTAACTAACTGACAAGATGGGGTTCTCGTGGCCTAGAGGTTAAGGTGTTGGCCTCTCATTCAAAGGTGCCGGGTTCGAATCCGGGTAGTGATTGAAAATTTTTCTTCTCTAAATTTGTCTCCGCACCTCCTTTCTTGCTCTCTAGCAATGTTCTATCGTCTGCTTTCGTCTCCTCTTTCTGCCCCCACTCCCTCATCTCCTTTGCCCCTCCTTTGCCCCCTCCTCTGGGCTCCTGATTCTTTCTACAGCCTTTCTACTGCTACTAGTGCTACTCCTTGGCTTCTTCTTACTGCTGTCTTTCAGCCACACCCCTGATCTTCTGGTAGGAAAGATCTACACCTAGCCTTCTCGGACAAGGGCGAAAAATCTCGGAGGGCCCGTGTGCAAGTTGCGCACGTTAAAGATCCCTTGGTGGTCTAACTAAAATCGATAAAAGTAGGCTTCGGCCGCCACCCGGGCAAAATTCAAAATTTCCTACCAACTGAAAAAGTTTTATGTGTCCCGCGCGCTCATATGACCTTATGCAGTTGCGATGCCGTAAAACACTTACAAAAACAAACAAACTGACAAGATCAAGGGCCCTTGATGAGATTAGAATCCACAACCTTACACTACAGTTAAGAGTCCTATATAGGAGCCTAACCTCTGGGACGGACATCACGCCATGACTTACTTGATTTCAGAACTGGGGTTTTCAGCGACAAACGTTTCACCCTTCCCTGGCAGGGTTACTGAAAACTTCTATAAAATTTATATTTGGGTATTGTCAAAAACGGACGAGCACCCAATACTGCCATCCTCATCTTCTGCAAGAGTGGCAAAAGAGGTAAAGGGGAACCCAGTGAGACTTAGAAAATTACTGAATTACTGACTAAACAAGGAAGGCGGGGGGGGGGTAGGACAAACAATATGGACATCACAGGGTCTCCGTGCAAAATGGGCGAAAAATAGAACTTGGAGGCCAATATATAGGCCTACATATAACAGTACAAAGATGATTGATATGTGAAAGATTCTCGTACATGTACTACAAAACTCCTCTTGATGAAGAGGTGGCGATAACGGGAGCCCTACAACTTCTTTATATTCTTGTACTTTGGCCGTTTTGTCAGAACTTAGGCAGGTGAATTGTTTCATGCTGTACAAAAGCAACAACTAGAGCTATACTAGACTCTCTCTATTGCCCTTTCTAAACTCCCAGTGGAGCACAGGCTATCATCAGCATTACTCCAGCGAAGCCTGTCCTGAGCATCCTTTTCTCTCTGTTTCCATGTGATGTCCCCGCTTTTTTATACTAGAATATAAGGCCTATAAAGGAGTAATATTATTTACAACCCGTCTCTATAACAAAAAGTTAGAAACAACAGCAGTTCTTATCAGAGGACATACACTGAGGAGACCTCCAAAATATAAAGCATGGTCTATCTCATATTCAAAAATAGGGTACCGTTACGTTTTCAAGTCAATTTTATTCAACGGTAAAAAAAAGCATTATCTGCATGCCGTGCAACCGCACTAGAAAATGAACTTGGAGTCTGTTTGCTATAAAAATTTGCCGAGGAGATAATCGAGAGAGAGAGGAGGGGGTGGGGGGGGGGGGGGGAAG